GTGCTTTTAAAGTTGTAGCAACGTTTCAGCAGAATCTCATCTGCCATCATCAGGCTTCTGTATTGTGTCCATCTGGATATATATATTCTTAAGTTTTCGCGGGTACTTACATGTATGGTATTCAGCTTTGTTCGGGTATTTTCCCACATCATTGTAGTTGTGCTTTTAAAGTTGTAGCAAAGTTTCGGCAGTGACGTGGGAAAATACCCGAGCAAAGCAGAATACCATATATATATGTGTGTGTGTGTGTGTGTGTGTGTTATTGTAATATTAAGAAAAATGAATTTATTAAAAATTTTAATGACTGTATTTCAAGAAGATTCAGTAACAATATAATTAATATTTTTGTCCACTTTTATGTAAACAATAGTACTTACTAAAAGCAAATCTAATAGAGTGAAGAGACCTTCTTTTTCAAGAAAATAGTCTTCTAAAATAGTGCAACCCATGACACAGCACCTTAAATAAAAATATTTTCAGTGTATAGGATATACTTACAATGAATGATTGTCATTAACAGGCAGCAAATAGAGAAAATTTCTAATATACCATACTTTTTGCACTATAAGACATTCCAGACCATGTCGCACCTAGTCTTTTGGGAGGAAAACAAGAAAAAAATCTGCCTCTGTCTCCCAGCATCCATCGGTATTAATTTGGCTAACATTCTTGCAGCAAGTGGCAATAGTGGCTGGTAAGCTTCAGCACATTATTGCAGCCTGATTTAAGCATGAGCAGCTGATTGGTGATTGGATATGCCTCCCGGAATATTGCTGATCAGCTATTCCAGGCAATGGGGATTGCTACTGCCCATAGCTGCCACCTATCACTGCCTCCGTGCATCCCGCATTTGGCCTCTGCGTGCCCCATTTTTGGCCTCCACATTCCTGTTTTCAGCCCGTTCCAAGTGGCAGGAATCACTGCCGATCATTGTTGCTGATCACCGCCTATTGCCACACCACCATTTGGCAGTGGCGAATGGCAGCGGCAACTGGTGGTAATTGGTGGTGGAGATCCTCGCCATCTGCAACAGGTCAAAACAGGATGCACAGAGGCTGAAAACAGAGCAGAGGGAGGCAGAAAATGGGGCTCACGGAGGCCAAAAACAGGGCCTACATAGGCCAAAAAAGCTGAAGGGTGGGGGCTGGCAAGAAAGCATGGCTTTGGTAACATTCACTCTATAAGACACACAGACATTTCCACCCACTTTTTTGGGGGGAAAAGTACGTCTTCTAGTGCGAAAAATATGGTAATTAGTCATATACAAAGTCCAAAATATACAAAAGATATTTTCACATTTTATGTAATAAAGTATCGTTAGGAATTGTTGTGCTGACATTAAATTACTAAACCTGATTTGACAAACATTTAGTCTCAAAATTTAAATTATTTTTTAAAACATGCATTCTATTATATAACACCATTGATTTATCTAATCCAATGCCATTGACACTATAGTAACAATCTAGAATTTAAGGCAAGAATGCAAAAAGTGTGTGGATAAGTAGACTTTCTGTTTCGCATGCTCTACCCCACTGCCCACATATTTTCATATGCAGAGAAGTTAGTTAGTTAGTTAGTTTACTTTATTGATTAGCCTTTAGGCCATATCAAAGTGCAGAGTTCCAGACACAGATTATTAGTAAAATCTGGTACAAACAATTGGATAAAATATAATTTAAAATGAAATTGGAGTAAAATACAATAATTTAATATATAAATAAAATATGATAGAATTAAATTTCAGTATCACCCCTACAATCTAGCCCAATCAGTCCCACATATATGCAGAGCAATAAAAGGGGAGAAATAATGGGGTTGATGAAGTTCAGGTGAACATAGCAGGCAGAAGCATGAGGTCCTGGCCTAGTGACTGCATTGCTTAACAATGGAAATTCCAGTCCCAATTAGGGTCATTAAGCAAGGACTACTTGTATTTTCTGATCTGTTCCTTTGCTTCCTGGCGGAGTCTACTAACCTGCAATGCTTCCAGCCTCCCCTTTGCTCTCTTCTGCATTTCCTTTTTCCTAAATGCTTATTCCAACTTCCCCCTTGGCTATCTCTCAGGTCATCCTTATGTGCTCCCGTGTTTTCCCTATTCAATTCTTTTGCTTTTTTATTTTTCTGCCATGCTCCCTGAAGCTTTCAGTATTGGTTTAAGCTTATGCATGTGTATGTATGTTCTGTACATGTATGAATATAAATGTGAAGAAATGTCTAATATCAGCATGTGCCCAGAATGTGTTTCTTTTTCTCCCCAGATCTTGGGGAGAAATATGATATACTATATTCTCACATAACTCTTAAAAGCACTCCAGTTTAATACATGAAATTTTGCCCAGCATTTGAGACTTCCTGGATGCAAAGTACTGTACATGCTCCACTTAATTTATGGCCAATTCTCTCATAAAGTCAAATTATTAGTATGATTGATATAAGCTGTATATTGAAGAATTAATTAAGAATCTTCAAAATATTGTCTCTACTAAGCAGTTGTTTGAATATTTGCAGTATGGGAGTAAACAGGGAGATTAAAGTTGGGGAGAGTTTTAAAATAAAACAATTGTATGTCCATTCCTAATATTAACAAATTAAAAGAAAAAAAGGTCAGTAATTAAATATCATTTAAAATTAAACCCTTTAAGACTAAATTAAGAAAATGCTTTTTATGCTTTGTGATCCATTGAATTAACTCTAACCCTAACCCTGTCTATCACCTTTCTTTCAAAGATTTAAAAATTTTGAAATTGCTATATTTACCATAAGCAGTCCAGAGCACAGAAAAGAAGACGATTATGACCCAATCCACTATAGAAATTTTTATCATCTATCTTCATAAATGGAATTAGTGTATCCACTCCTTCCCATCCAAAGAGCTCCTGTTTAACAGAAACTTACATTATTCTGTAAGAATTATAAATAATTGTTCCTGTCTGTTCTACTTTGGTCAGACTGGATCTAAAATACTGTGTCCAGTTGGAACATACTAACCATCTTTTCTGTATCCATTGACAATTTCTTACAAGAGCTTTGCCTTTTATTGGGCTTGAACAATGGCTTAGAAAAATATTCATTTGGGATAAGAGATGACAACAGGATGTGACCATGTGTCATTCCCTTAACTTAAGAACATATTTTCCTGGGGTCAGGAAAAGAGAGGGCTCCTTTAAAGAAGTGCCAATAGATAAATTGGATCCAAAACATTTTAATCTGCTTCTTAGTTGAAAACTGCAACCTATACTAAAACATTTTCAGAAATGAAAAACCAAAATGATAAGGAATCTGGAAGATAAAACTCAGAAGAGAAAGATTGGAACTGTGACATATATTTAATCTGGGAAGACAAAGGAGATATATCTGCAATATAATAAAGGTAGTCCTCAACTTAACAACAATTGAACCCAAATTTTTAGAGAATTTTCAATTGTCTAAGCAAGACAATTGTTAATTGAGTTTTGCCCCATTTTATGATCTTTCTTGCCATAGTTGTTAAGTGAATCCCATTAACTTAGTAACAAGGTTGTTAAGTGCATCTGGCTTCCCAATTGATTTTGCTTGTCAAAAGGTCACAAAAAACTGATCATATGACCCTGGAATGCTGCAACTGCCATAAATACATGCCAGTTGCCAAGTGGCTGAATTTTGATCATGCATCAAAAGCAACTCAGGAATGCTAGTTTAGAATCTTAATGAACTACAGAATAAAAAAATAAAATAAATAAAATAAAACAAACTTTGAACATAGGCTCAACTTTTCACTTTCTTATTCATTGGAAATTCAGACAACGTGCTTTTAAAATCCATGAGGAAATACAAACCTTTCTATGGATATTACTTTCACAAAGAGTTGATAGAATAAGTAAGATATCACTTTGAATCTCCATCACAAGGGCAGAATCTTTATAATTACTTGTGGTAAATTTTAAGATACCTAGTGGAAAACAGCAATAAAGATTGTTATGGCTGCTCAACTAGAAATTATCATATCAGTAGAATACATGACATAATAATATATCATGTTGCAATTTTAATACATCTCAAACTTATGCATATTGCTTTTTAACATATTTTAATACTATCCATCCTTACACTCAGATGCAAAACAGAAAGCTTACTGGAAGTTGGGGTTCTTATTAGGATGCAGCACTTTTATTAGGAGAAACATGGTGATTATCATTTCTTGTCCAATTCATTGGAGAAATCAGTCATGTCATTTAAGAGACTGATGTCAGTCTGATACCCTTCCTTCAATATGTTTTTGGAAGACACAAATAGTAACAAGAACTAGGTTTATTAATTGTTTACTCAGACTCTCAGAAAAAGCAAACATTTTATTTTTTGCAATATACATTTTTATCTTTTGCAATGTTCTAAATGTTCTCAGGAGCTCCTTGAGCAAAAAACCTATGAACTGCCCACCCTGTAAGACAGATTCCTGAATATAAATGTTATTTGTCTGAGGATTCTTATTTCTCAATTACAGAAATGAAGAAAGATAATGAAGCTTAAAGCTCCAAATAAAAAAACTATCCCATTGTTGGAAAAAAATAATAATTCCTAGGGGCATTTCAGTCAAGATTCTTCATACTGAAGGATACAAATTCTCATCATCAAGCCTATGAGACTAGAGAAAATAATATAATTCAACTGCAAACATTCCTTTGAATGGGAATGCTATGAAACATAGTAGGGAAGCAATATAAAGTCATAATCATGCATTCTGCATATGAAAAATAGCAGCCACAATTTTATATAAAATATACAGAATATGCTATAATTACAGAATTAGTATTATACCTCTATAATTATAGGGTAAATTCAGACTACTTTTGAACTGACTGCATTTGGTTTTCCAGATAAAACAAACAAACAAACAAACAAACCTCCTAGAAGATTCCAGAGATGTCCAGTTTAAGATTGCCTTGCTATTAAATGTCTTATATATTAGAAAGCACTTACAAAGAAAATGCAGTTTGAAAAAAATGAGGAAAAATTATATTACTTTAAAGCATAGTAAAAATAAAATTGACTTTATTTTCATTCATACAACTTTTAAGTTAATGAAACAAAATTAATTTCATATAGGTATTACCCAGAGGTGGTATTCAGCAAGTTCTGATCAGTTCTGGAGAACCGGTAGTGGAAATTTTGAGTAGTTCAGAGAAACCGGCAAATACCATCTCTCACTGGAGATTTAACAGTATCCTCCCCCTGCCACACCCACCAAGCCACTCCCACAGAACCAATAGTAAAAAAAATTGAATCCCACTACTGGTGTTACCCAACAGTTGATGAATTGCTCCTTGATCACAAAGGTCAACGTTCAGAGCATCATCACCGAGAGATACAACTGGATTCAGGACTCTCAAGCAGAAGCGCATCTGTGCAAGTTTGGTGCCACGACCACCTGTACCATGGAAACTATTACCTTGAGTAAAGAAGGGATCTGTAAAGAAACAAAAAATATTCATTTTATTTCAAATTAGACTATAAAGCTTTTCATATTAACAGGTTTGCAACATTATTGTAAATGTAAGCACTCTACTATATAACTGTAACATAGTTGTTTCCCTAATATTTAATCAAATATCTAATTATATAATTCTAAAGTTTAATTGAACATATAATCTTCATAGGAAAAAAGGAAGATGCCACCCAGGGTCTTTGATATCCTGGAAAGAAATTTGCTGTACATTTGGGCTTCAATCTCCAAACTACATAGTGGCAGAGAACACACAGAAATTCCTTGCTACTTATATAAGAATTTTTTTAAAAAATATTTTGGCTGAATTTGTTCCCAATCAATGTTGCTATGTCTTGCACTTTACAGTAGTAACTTAATATAGTAAAAGTTTTTCATTTCAACATTTTCAATACAGATTGAGCCCAAAATTTCCATTGCTAAGTGGGACAGCTGTTAAGTGAGATTTTGTTCCATTGTATAACCTTTCTTGCCACAGTTGTTCAGTGAATCACGGCAGTTGCTAAGGTAGTTCATGATTGTTAAGTGAATCTGTCTTTTCCATTGACTTTGCTTGTCAAAAAGTCACAAAAGTTGAGCACGTGACCCATGATCCTTCAGCTAGTTGCCAAGTGTCCAAATTCTGATCATGTGATCATGGGGATGCTACAATGGTCATATGACATCTCTTACTCTCTTATAAGGATGGAGATCATGGCAAGAAACCAAGCAGGATGAAACTGGAACATATAATTCTTACCTAAAAGCAAATTTAGCTCTGTAGCAAAAATTACAGCATTTCATTAGCAATAGCATTTAGACTTATATACTGTTTCATAATGCTTAACAGCCCTTTCTAAGTGGTTTACAGAGTCAGCATATGGTCCCCAACAATCTAGGTCCCCATTCTACCGACCTCGGAAGGATGGAAAAGTGATTCAACCTCGACCAATCAGAATTGAATTTCTCATAGTGAACAGTAAGTTAGCCTGCAATACTGCATTCTATTCACCATGGCTAAAAATAATCTTGCCTTATTGACTCACCACTGCTCACACACCATTCAAGAAACAGCAGAAGGCGAGTATTTCCCTGGCACAGCATATAGTCTTCTATCAGTAAGGGAGCCATTGTTGCTAATGTGGCAATAGCAAGAAGCTGCAATTCTTCATACTGGGCTGCAGACATACCAAGTGCTCCTCCCTTTTCGTTTGGTTTTAAATAATTAAACAAAGCCAGTAGAACCTTACCCTCATGCAACAGCTAAATAAGAAAAGGAGATAAAATATCATTTGAAAAGAGAAATCAATTTGGATAAAAGGGTAATAATAACAATATACTTTTGACCTTCTTTTGTTAGTATACAGAAAGCATATTTTGTTATGTTTTGTGTAAAATTTGAAATGTGATGCTCCCTGTATCTATTGGTTTGCCAATTTTGATAGGTTACAATGCATGTAGAAAAGGAGTAAAATTTATATCTGCTGATACCAGTCATTCACAACCACAACCACAATCAACAGCCACATTCTCATCCTCCCTCCCCCAATGAGTACTTTTATTGTATTCCTCTGATTATTTTCTTTAGGAAGTGGGTATGCAGGATACAATCTATTTAAAACTGTTGTTCTATATTTTGTATTTGACAATAAAGTGTTCCTACTTGGCTCTATGAACTTATACAATTATTGGGCTATTAATTTCCCTCTGAACATACTAAAATTACTTCAGAATAACGTTCTTGTGAAGGAGGGGAAATATTTGCTTATCTATTTTGACATCTAGAAGTGACATAATTAGCATGAAATTTTTTGGTGCTAGTAGCTGAACATATACCTGTGCTCAGGGTGGGATTCAAATTTCTTAACAACCAGTTTTGTAGGCGTGGCCTAATTTGTGGGTGTGGCTTGGTGGTCATGGCTTGGTGGTCACAGGACAGTGGGCGTGCTTGGTGGTCATATGACTGGGTGGATGTGGCCAACTTGATGTCACTCACATGGAGGGGCACCTTGCCTGGCTTCTTCTCAGCCCTCCCCTCCCAGCCAGTCCTCGCTTCGTCTTTCATGTTATGGTGAGAGAGGAAGTTTTTTCAAAGTCATCTTCCCCTTGATACTAGCCAATAAGATGAGATTTTGCTATCAGAAGACTGATGGACATTTCCAAATATTGTTTATCACCATTCTCTTGGAAAGACTGAGTGGAGAGGTTTATAAAGAATAACAGAATTGGAAGAGACCTTGGTGGTTTTCTAGTCCAACCCCTGCTGAAGCATGAGACCCTATAGTATTATGGACAAATTTTTTGTTAAAAACCTCCAGTGAAGGTATACCCACAATTTCTGAAGGCACCCCATTTCTCTGATTAATTGTTCTCACTGTCAGGAAATTTCTTCTTATTTCTAGGTTGGATCTGTTTGATAAGTTTCCATCTCACAGTTACTTCCAGTTGAGCCAAGCACCATCTATTCTATACATTTTTTCTTGCCTGTGTAAAATCTTACTTTACTCTCCATTAAATTGTTCTCGAGTGGTATTCAGTTTACTACAATGATTTTTGCATACATCTCTGCTTATACTGATAAAGATTATTCTTTTTGAACATTAAAGCATACAGTTAAGCAAATATCCTACAATTGAAAACACATTTGAAAGATATTTTCAAAGCAGTCAGTTAGTGCAGGGATCCCCAACCTTTTTGATGCCGCGGCCCGGTACCGGCATCAGCTGGGCGCCGCGGCCCGGTACCGGCATCAACTGGGCGCCGCCATCTTTTTTTGATGAAAAAGTGCTTCCGGTGACCTTTCTACCCGGAAAAGCTCACCGGAAGCACTTTTTTACCAAAAAAAGATGGCAGCGCCCAGCAACCAGCGGCCCGGTAAGAGTTGTTCCGCGGACCAGTATCGGTCCATGGACCGGCGGTTGGGGACCCCTGAGTTAGTGGATGTCTTACCATTCTTTCTCTTCTCCTTTAATTAAATCTTTCTGCTTTATATATTTTTTTCTTTGGCCTTATTGCAATATTCCAAAATTTTCACAGATCCTTCACAAATAATCATTTCTAATTTAACTGGAATACAAAACAATCTTTCTGGTCTGGAATTCACATTCACACCCCTTAGCTCCTCAACACTTCCCAATGTTTTCCTTTCCTTTCTGTTATGTACAGAAATGTGCTTCTCTTTTACTGCTCTTTTCAAATTAAACCTCCCCTGATGCCTACACCTGCATTTAATTCAGGTAAACCCGAAAGACAATACTTCTTTCCTAAGTTGTCAAAATGGAAAGTGCTCCAAAGGAAATTACTCAGGAGGGTGATATTAGCAATTTATAAATATCTTGCTCTCAGAAAAGATGGGGACTTAACAAACTATTTAAGCAATGCATGATTAACTGCATAGCACCAAAAGGCAGATGACTTGCTCATTGAGACCAACAGTGATACAAGCAAAAATCAGTCTTGTTAAGAAAGGCTGTCTAATAAAAAAGTACCCAGGTCTTTTCTTATTATAAAATCATCCTGGACAGCTGTGGAATTTTCTCCCCTCCCTCTTTTGGGAAGATTTACAAAAAACTTCCAGCCAGGTTTGCCCTGCAGCCTCGCCCACCTCTGCTGGCAGCTCTTGCCTGAGCAGCGGTTTGGCTTTTACCTTACCCAACCTTCCTCCTGTGGCTGGTGGCAGAAGGGAAGGCTAGCTTCCTCAGCTCCAGCAATGCCCTGTGTGCCAAGTCCCAATCTGGGGCTCACCATACCTGGGGGGGGGGCAGTGGTGGTGGTGGCATGCTCCAGTTGTTTTCATCGGTGAGAGGGGCTGCAGAGCCTCTCTCGCCAATGGAAAGGTTCTTTCTGAGAAGGCAATCAGTGGTGGCACATCCCAGAACGTGCCGGTGGTGGGCAGTTTTCTTGGGTGGCTTCAGCAGCAGCAGAGCACACTATGGCAGCAGTGGAGGGTGTTCGGCCTAATCCAACCACCAGGGGGAAGAGAACATTCTCTTCTCTCTCAGCCGGCATGGCCATGGCCCCGTGGCTTCTTCGTGGCC